TGCCCGTGGAGCCCGACCGGCGCGGCATCAGCACTGGAGCTGGCAGGGCCTTTCCCGCATGCCGGCTGGAGGCAGAGCAGCTGGTCCGTGGGATGCGCTAGCGACAGCAGCCCCGCCGGGCTCGCTCTGCCTGCCGGTTTCTGCCGGAGGCATTTGATGCCGGTTGGGAGCTGTCGGCGAAGAGGCACCAGACAAGTCTCCAGGCTGTTACTCGCCTGGTCGGATCTCTTCCTTGGCTGCCCGGATGAAATTTAAGCCTCCTCTTGAAATAAGAGGTGTGGGTTTGTGGCTTTTTTTTATTATTCTTTTTGGTTTCTTCCTCTTGATGCTGAGGTTGAGCAGCCTAGTCCTGCTCCAGCTGGAGAAGTTCTTAAGCTGACGCTGCCTCTGGTTTCCACCCTCTCCTTATCCCGTATCACCACGAGCCGATGGCTTGGATTCTCCTTCCCCTGCCGCTGCGTTCCTGGGACGATGGATGAGCTGCCCCGAGCCATCCAGGAGGTGGCTGTGGCCAGACCTGTCTGAGCTGTGGCTGCGTGATGAGAGATGCAGAAGAAGGAAAAGCCTGCGACGAAGGAAGGTGAAGCCTGCGAGGGTTCCCCTGCCAATCCAGATCATGATCCGAAATCAGAGGAAGGAAAGGAAGATGCTTCCCAAGGAGGGCCTGAGCAAGGTGTCCGCGTGCGGAGACAGTGGGATGAGCTCTGCCATGCTCCCGCATTGAGGCCGGGCTTGGATCAGACATGCTTGGACTGCTATTTGTGGGGTTACCTGGAGACCGCTTCCTTGGCCATGGTGCAGCTAGGTTCTGGAAAAGCTCATCCCGAGCATTGCATCCAAACCCTGGAGCCGGGCAGAGCATGCCGGGATCGCCCGGGCTCGTCGAGCAGCGCTGCATTCCCACCCAGCAGCTGCTCTCTGCCTTTCTCCCGCAAGGAGAAACGCGGTCCTTGGCCGGGCAACCTCGTCGTGGTGGAAGACCCTGTGTCCCCCCACCCGGGGCCATGTGTGGGTGGGAATGGGGAAAAATCCTCGGGAGGACTCTGGGTTGGGAAAGGACATTAAAAAGTCTTAAATAGCGAATGCACACTATGAATTGGAGCGGGGATTTGGGGCAACTGCCCTGCTCCAAAATCCACAGGTCCCTTGGGAGAATAGATAGCAACGAACCTCGGGGTGAGAGGAGGGGGATCCGGAAGGATCAGGGAAGGCGGCTCAGCACATCCCCCATTTTCCGGTGTTTGGCCTGAGTGGCATATGAGCTGGGGCAGGGCTTGGGTGCTTCGGACCGTTCCTGGGTGCTGCTGCTGCTGCACTTTGGGTGGTTTCCTTCCTCCGCTCTCCTTCCTCGGCCCCGGGCTATGGGATGGTAATAGGCGTCTTGTGAGAGCGCAAATAATTCCCTCTCTTCATTTGCATTGTTACCTTGAAGGTATTTATAGTCTTGCTGCCTTCTCCTTCCTCGGCTGGGTAAATTTAGCTCCTCCAGGCTCTCCTTGTGTGCCTTTCTTCTCCAGCTAGCTGATAAGCTCGGTTTTTTAGCTCCTATTTCCTCTTTTTTTCCCTCCCCCCAGACTGAGAGAGGAGGATCTGGACCAGCTTGTCTGTCCCGCTGTCCTATCGGGCTCCTAAGAAATCTCTCTCCTGTTTTTTTTCTGTGCGATTTTTGCCCTTTCATCCTGCTCCTTAACAGCATCAGGCTGTGTGTGGAAAGGCTTTTGGAGAGGTGTTTCTTGGTGGCTGTTCTTGTCTTCCTGTCCCGGACCTGGAAGGACAGCGGCTTCCCTAGGGCAACAGTCATCTCCAGCGTGACGACATGGTTGCCACCACGGCTGGTGTCTTGCTCGCTGCGAGACCGGTCAAACCCTGTGAAGGTCCTCCAGCACCTTTGGCTGCTAAGTTGTTGCTTTGACTCAGGCAGTTTAACTTATCCGAGTGAATATTACGGAGTTCTTGAACTCGTGGCCACAGAGTGGGGTGGTGGTGGACAAAAATAGAGGGGTTCTTCAGCTCTGGGGCAGAGGATGGTCCCGTCTGGGCAGATTTGGCGCTGGCAATATAGTCGATGTGTGTGTGAAACGTTTCTGCTGGTTCAACTCGCTGTGCCGTCCCATCCTCCTGGCAGTCCGGGATGAGCCCGAGGTCCGGCTCTGATCCCAGAGCCCTCCAGCCGTCTATGTCATCCTGCTGGAGAATGAGCTTTTGGAGGCCAGGAGGTTTTGCGGGAAGCAAATCCTGAACTTTCCCAGAACTGCATCACGGGGATTCGGGGTGAAGAAGCAGAATTAAGGGTCTGTTTGAGAGTAACGCTCTTCTCTGCCACCCTGATCCGTGCGGGAACATAGCAGGGGATGGAGAAGGGTCACTTGGCCCAGTCCTAGCGCTGGGGATAGCTGTCGGGTCCTGAGATGGGAGGCTCTTGGTTTCGAGGCATATGAAGAGTCGCTTTCCGCTCTCCGTACCTGTTTCTCTCAGGCGTATCTCAGGGCAGATGTGTTCGGGAGTGCCTCTGCCTTGGAGAAAATCTGCGCTCCTCATTTTTTTTTTTTTTTCCCCCTCTTATCTGTGTGTTTTGTAGATTTTTCCGGCAGTCCCCGGCCGCCAACCCTCCCGAGTGCCGGCGCGGTGTTTTTTTGCGAGTGACACAGCACAATCGGCGAGGAATGGAGAAAGCTGTCCCTACTTTATCAGAGCAACAGCGAGAGCGCCAGGGAGATGGAGGCAGAGCCACGCTAACGGCGCTGGAGCCAAACAAAGAGCATTTTGCTGCCCTTGAGTGCCCCCAAGGTGAAGAGCGAAGAGCTGCTTTTGTTAAAGATGCAAAAGCGCCTCTGGAGAGCCCGGCTCTATCTGGGACATCGGTGGAAGGAGGGACAGAGCTCAAGGAGGCCTCCTTCTTCGCCACGGAGAACCTGCCGTCGATGAGCCGAGACGGCAAAGGGACTTCTGGCACCGATATGTGTGCCCTCAAAGAGGATCCCAACTTCTTCTCGCCGCTCACCCGCCAGGAACCTGATGTCGCTCTGGAAGCTCGGGACGTGGCAGGTAAGCTCTTGCGTGGCTGGCGGGAGGCGAGGTCCCCCCTGTCCCATCCGGTTTGCTGCAGAGTTGATGCCGTTTGATCGGGTTTTTGGTAAGGTGAGATGGAGACGTCTTCCTGAGTCTGCAGGCTCTTTCGGTGCCTCGTTTCCACTCGGTTCGCGTGGAGTGGTGGTAAAGCTGGCTTGGTTGGGTTGCTTTGCTGTGTGCTTGGAGGTGCCTTTAGGAAGATGTTTCTTGGCAGATGGCAGAGCATGTGGTCACCATGCTGGTTGCCAGAGTTTAAATATAACTCGTCCGCTGGTATTCAGACACTGAACAGCCTGGGCTGCTTGGAAAAGGAGTGAGGTGCGTGGATAGAGGCTTCCCGGGCCTCTTGCCCACCCTTTCCATCCACATCTGGACCTCTCAGTGGAGTATTAGCCTTGTGGGGTCCCCATGATGTTTCTCCAGCTAGATGGTCCCTGCTGAAAGGGCCTGGGAAAACTTGGATTTATCCGGTGGCTCATCCTGTCCCACTGTTCCCTGCCTGACCCGGTGGTCAGTGTCAACGCTGGCACGTGCGTAACCGGGTGCTGCTGGTGTTCCCCGGCTCCTTGCGCCACCCAGAGCGTGCGGTTTCTGGCCGTCACACGTTTGTTTTCTTTGGAGATATTTTGCTGTGAGCAGTGGAGAACTCGGGAGAAAGGAGTTGCGATGCGGTGAGAAACACGTGGTGGGGGGAAACAGGAAAGTAGAAGGAATTGCCCAGCTGGGATCTCCACCCTGGTGTCCCCGCGTTCAGCACCACAGACAGGGATGCAAAATCCGACAGCGAGGGAAGCCCCTGGGCTCTTCCGGGGACCCTTGCTGCATGCAGGGCTACTCACCACTTGGGCAGCGGCTCCTGAAATGCAGGTGGCTTCGGGTGACACTTGCGCACGTGCTCTGGCCGGATGTGAGCACCGGCTCGTTGTGTGGCAGATCCTCCGGGCTGTATAATCTCCGGGAATTTTGGTTTGGCAGGAGCAATGCGAGCAGGACTTGGTATCCTGATGGTCTGGGTTGTGAGACACCGCGCAGCTCCTGTGATCTCCCTTCCCCCCTCCTCCCCCACCAAATTCCCATCCGAAACGCTTGGTTTCTTCCCCTTTTGCAGCAGAGAGCTCTTCCTCTGTATGTTTGACTATGTGCTAGGAATAGAGATGGGGATCGTCCCGGGCGCTCCCGGAAAAGCATCCCCAGCCTGCTACGCAGTGACAAAGTCCTCGCCATTGGTGGCCTTGCTCCCTACCCCTCTCCTGCAACAACTTGGGGCCGAAGAGCCATCCCTTTCCCCGGGAGCTTGGTACATGACTCCGGTCTTCAAATAATTCCTCTCTAAGATCCTTGTTAACGTTCACTTTGCTCCTTTCTTGCTCGAGACTTTCATTAGTGTGACGAATGCCCTTCTATTGACACCATCGATTTCTCCTCTTTGAGCCTTTCCGAAAGGGAAAACCCAGCTCTCCTGTAACAAGCTCTGTAACGGATAGCGGTGGGACCGAGATCTTGACGCGAGTCAGGCCTCAAAAAGCATCTGCTGTCGGAGTCCTTCCAGCATCCCCACTTTGCTGCTTCCCCTCCTGGCAGCGTGGGGCGATCCCAGCCCACTGGGAGGGAGCTCGGAGGGATGTTGGAGCACCCAAAGAGGCGGGTGCTCCTCGGGTGCCCCAACCTGGGGCCGCTCCGGCAGGTCCTTCGCTCGCGCCGGAGCAGCCGCGCAGCGCTGACTTCCTTCCTTCCTGTCGCCGTCGCCCGGTTCCTCTTCCCGGGGCGCGCGTGCGCGAGGTGGGCGCGTTTGCCCCCGCGCAGGCCTTCCTCCCTCGTCATCCTCGGCAGCGTGCCGGGGAGGTCCCTTCTTCATCTTGCAGGCAGCGAGCGGAGGCGTTCCTCGTGCCGTGCAGCAAGAGGGGCCTCGCGAGCTGGAGAAGCGACTCCAGGGCCAAGCTC